ATTTTTTACCCCAATGCTAGATGGTCCCATGATAACCTAAAAAGAGTATATATTATAAATAGAAAAATAATTGTAGTGGCAAACAAATTTCAGTAATAAGTCAATATTTACTTACTTAAACAAATAAACAGAATGATCACAGGCAGTGGGAGCGGGAGCAACTTCCGACTTCCTGCCAGCTTCTCCATTGACTTTGCTTGTCTGAAACTGGCAGGGAGTATCAGAAATCATGATCACGTGACCATGGGGATGCTTCAGTGGCCACAACTTTGCAAATAAAACTGGTCTGAACATAGTGGAAATTTCAATTCCAGAGAAGTAATGGGTCCCGGATTTTTTATGCATTTTTTAAGTTAGTGGATTTTAGGTACCTTGATTCAAACATTGTTGTGATACAATACACCTTTTAGGCTAACTTGAGGGTACAAATTTGATTTTTTTTTTTATCATAAGAAACTGACACTTTGGAATAATTCTTATTTGGAAATGGCTGGTAAATACATTTTTTGGAAAGCATGGGTTTGTAGTGGTATAATTATCTTCAACCAGCTATAAGTAACAATACTTTAAAAAGTTTTGAAATTATATAAAAGGAATATAATTTGTCTAGAAAGATTGAATATCAATAGATTGTAACACTTTGTAACATTCTCTACTATTCAATCAGTGCATCCAAGTTTTAAAAAAAAGTGGTATCTTCTTTACAATTTAAAAACTTGGCTAGTTCAGCAAAACAAAAAACCTCCTCTTTAGAGATTATTGGACATCTCAGGAGATGTTTTAAAATTATTGGCTCTCATTTTTTTACTAGAGATGTAATACATTTGGCAGAACTTTGATACATATGTTACAGGCTTGTCCAGTTGTAACTCTGTATTGGTTAGATATTATTGCTATGGTGAACCAGATTCTCTGTGGCAGTTAAAAGTTAAAGATGAATTTTTTTTGTTAAATTATCTCTCAAAAATCTGGAATCTTTCATTTCAAAAAGAATTTTGAAATATAATGCTTAGACTGTGGCCAAAAAAATGATTATGTACTCATGGAAGAATGATTGTATTCCTGGCTCAAAAAGTTGGCTTAGTGAAATCTGTCAATTCTCAGCCTTTGAACTAGCTTTGTATTGACAGAGTGGCAGGATCAGAAAATGTAATTCCATATGATCTAGATTCAATTCATTGTGTAAAAATGGAATCACTATGTGGAAAAAATTGAAGAAAGTCATGTAATTTTAGTAGTTTGATATCTGTGTATCTATCAATGTATATATTTATCATTAAATGAGGTTTTTTTATGCATACACATATACACACTTTTATATGGACATACACACAAACACATATATTTAGAGAAAGAAAGTTAAATTTTTAGGGATTTTGCTTTGTTATTTTTGATTTTTTAGTTTAGTGTAGGAATTTTCCCCATCTTTTTTTTCTTTTTCTTTTCTAGTAGTTTAATATAGTGTTTTATTGTTCACTTTTTATTTTTTCTTCCTCTCATTTTGATACATATGTGATAGACTAGGTATCTATTATAAACTGTATAATTCTATTATAAAATAGCTATATTGTTTTACTCTTATTTAGTTTTTAAATATTAATATATTTTTAAAAGAAATGCTAATTTTTAAAGTTTAAATTAAAAAATCACTACCACCAAATGAAGTTGGAATCTTGGAAAAAGCTTACAAATGAAATCCAGCTCAGCATCAAATCAGTCTTTCAGTCTTTAGCCTTAAAATAAATAAAAATACCACTTCAGTGGTAAAAGCTGTTGAAGGAGCTATAGACTGCCTTCCATCTATTCAAGGTGCAAGAACATTTTGCTGGGCTGGGCATTAACAAGTTGCCAAATATCATTCTGGTGCTTTCAGTCTTAATCAGTTTTATTGCTGCTGCTACAAAGAAACCCTCTGAAACTCAGCCAGATTTTCTAACAATGAAACAACCCATAGTTCCATTTCCCCATTTGTATTCAGAGTCACCTAAATATATTGAATCAGGAGTCTCAGCAATAAGACTCATTCATAAATTTATTATGATTATGTTTTAGAGTGACCTTTTTGAATTTGTATGTTTAATTTGATGTTCTGCGTTGAAAATGGTGTTACCACCTGAAACCTGTCAGTACAATTTCAATGATTGTGTTGAAAGACTAATATTACAATTTTAAGAATTGTAATATGTTTAAGAATGTTGGCATATGCAGCTTGCTTAATTGTCAATTTTCTGTTTTGAAAAGAATCTGAGTATGGAAAAACAATCTATTTTGTAAGCTGCTTTATAGCCACTTAAAGTTATACTGGTATATTTAAAAAAAAAAAATCTGAAAACACTATGAAGCCAAAGCTTTGAATGCTCAGGAACATATTCCAGTTGTTGGAGGAAGCTCAGAGATATGTGTTGGGAAATCTAAAGTTGAAATGGGACTAAATACTGAGAAAGATATCAGTACACCCACAGAATCTAGAGTTACCATTTTGGGATTGCAAAGCTAAGAGCTATCTCTGGTTGCCTGGATTTTTGCAGCCCAGAGAAAGCCTATGGTTTGCAGAAGTGTATAAAAAACACCAAATTTTAAACAAGGAAAGATGTTGCAACAAAAGATGCAAATACTGCCCAAAGTAGCATCCATTGAAGGTTGGTGCGAGACAGAAAAATGAGCATTGTGGGGTTGTGTCTGGCTGAATTGTTGAATAAAACATTCCTTTGAGTTAGAAGGGAAGATACAAGCAAGATTTTGTTGCTTATCAATTTGGAATCCATGCAGAGCTTGCCAAAAATAAAGTACATTTTTTGTATATCAGTAGAGGAGGAAAGCAACTCCTCAGTATGTAAAATATATTAATTTGTAAATTAAAGCATAATGAACACAATTTCTTTACAGTGGATTTAATTCAACTATAGGACGAATGATCAGTTGCATGAATAAGTTGAGTGGTTGTGCTGGTCTATAACCTGTAATAAAGGTTTGATTTGATTTGATTTAATTTGGGTGGGATATGAGATTAAAACACTCTCCTTTGGATAGATAAAGGGAGGTTTCAACAGGGGGGGAAAGGAAAAAGGGCACTTTGCTTTTTTTAAACAATCTATCATCAGCCATTTAGTAGTGATTAAATGTATAGGTTCTATTCTGAAGCAATAGAGATGATCACAGGAAGATGAAAGCTGACTGGGTGACTTTGGGCCAGTCACTTTCTCTCAGCCCAACTCACCTCACAGGCTTGCTGTTATGGGGAAAATAGGAGGAGGAAGGAGTATTAGGTATGTTCGCCACCTTGAGTTATTTATAAAAAAAATAATAAAGGCGATGTTTAAAAAATCATCAAAAAATCATAATAAGATGGAAAGGAAAAGGAAAGAAAAAGTTATATTTTATTCCTCTGTCCTGAAATCTTTTTCCTCTTTTTTTTCCTGCACTGTTGAGCATTGAATAGTACAACCTATTCAATGCTCAACAGTGCAGGGAAAAAAAGGATCCTTTACAAGGTTGAACAGGGTGCTGGCAATAGGTAGTACTGTTAAATAATGAGGATGCACAATGTTTCTTATGGATTATCACTTATAATTTACTTGAACCCATGACATCAAAGGGTGTTGTACAGATAAATCACACAATTATTCTTTCTGATTTAATTTTGTCTGCTTATTAAACTATTTGTTTTATCATTCTAATATAAGATGGTATTCCATTAAATAGTTAATTTTAAACATATATTTTTTAAAAATATATTCCTTAGATTTATGAATGGTTTGGAT